AAATAAAATAATATAATATATATATATATATATATATATATATTGATCTATGGTGATATATGTAGATGTGATGTGATGTATTATGATGACGAGCATTGATATGTTATGTGTGAAGAATATGCTATAGTTGCATGGTTGGAGTGTGAATAAGCATTGGTATGTTAGTCTTGGATAAGGTGTATAGTATTGGTATGTTAATTATGATTGGTGTAATTTGATCTCTTTGTGCATTGGCTTGGATAATGTATATAGAGGATGTATGTTTAGGAGTTGATGCTAAAAATATTGTAGGCATTGAAACATGTTGATTGGCTTAAGACTAGAGGAGATAATGTTGTTTGAAAGTTGAAGATTCCATATAGGGAATCTTGTTTTGGTGCTCTGGGAGACCAATTGTTGAAAACCTTTTCTAAGTAGGTGTTAAACTCCTGGAGTGGATTTTGTTGAGTTTTCTCTAGGTCCTTAGTCAATGTAAAGTAAAGTATGACATCAAGGGCTACAACTTTTAATTAATTACTGAAAAAGGTTGCATGATTTATTGCGAATAGTTACTAAGTTATTCCCATATGTGACTTGGTAATCTGTTCTAATGTCACGGTATGCCTATACCTAACTATACTAATCCTGATAGTGGAATCGAACCTTACTAGTGTAAGTGGCGATACCTAAGAAATCAGAGAAGTGATTATTATCTCATTTTAATTGTTGATCTAGCAAACACATTAGGCATTAAAGTGATCAGGTTGATTTGGTAGGGTCAAGCCACTTAGATTATTTATGTGTGTTAGGAGATCTTCATAGATAAATGTGTGACGATGCATTATAAGGTGTATGCATATGATGTGATGTTGATTGATGTGTTCATATGCATTGGTTAAACATCTTATTATGTGATATTTACTTGGTGCAAGTTTGATTGCTTGGTGTGTAGCTTTTAAATTGTTTTTTTTAAGGATTGTTATATGATGTGAATCTTGTGTTGTTGGTTTGAAGGTTTAGATGCGAGTGAGTAGTATAAATATTTTTATTTCTATACTTGCTTGATTCTTTTGAAATATCTTATCAAATCACAATGTTTGACCTATCACAACTAGGTCAAGTACAAGCAACATTAGGCCTCATTAGAGGGAATGTATGCAACTTAAATTGATTTATCAAATTCTCTACTTAAACTAGGAATGTATAGTACTACTGACAGGGTAGAACAACTCGAGTGTGAGCTTACCACGACCTTATCATGCATAAATTAAGTCTCCCATGAGATTAATAATATTTGTAATAAACTATTTTGATTCACCAAAAGGTGAAAGGTCTGAGTTTTATTTTGTTTACTCATTGACTTCAAAGGCTTACAATACTTCTAATCAACTATTTAATACAAATGCAAAATCATAATATGATAATAAGTTAAAAAAAATTAATTATTATTGATTTAAAAATTAATAGTTCCAAAACTCATCTATTTTACATGGGTATAGTAAACTTTCTCAATGATAAAATGAGATTTGTTTGAGATGATTGTGAAATAATTTTTTTATTATTAATTATGGAAATAGTGTGTCAAACTCATCTCTACGAAATAACATTAAGAATATTTATTTGAAATAGGAAAGTCGACCTAATGAACGAGATTTAAAATAAAATTTAATAGTTTATTTATTTATTTTGAAAGAATTATATGTTAGGCGCATACACACATTGAAAAAGTTAACCTGTGACTATAAACAAACACATC